TCACAAACCATGAGATCATGACCTGAGCCAAAGTCAAGAGTCGGTCGCTTACGCAGCTGAGCCACCCAGCTCCCCATAGTATATTCTTAACAGACCGTTTCATAGAGGGGCTAAGAGTGTCTGGGTTGGAATCCCAGGTCTGCCTCTTGCACACTGAGGGGCTTCATCGCCCCTTGCCTCAGTGTTCCTCATCTGTAAATGGGGCTAATAATAGTGCCTACGTCACAGGGTTTGGGGAAATGAGTTGATGTCCCTAAAGGAAAACTACAAATTTGGGAGCCGCGGGCTCGTCAACGCACAAGGAGGGTGAGCAGACGTGGAGGGGGCGGCCATGCTGACCCCCATCCCCCCGTCCCGTCCTCCAGCGGCCCTGGCAGCGGAGGCCGAGGGCCCGGAAGTGGGGTCCGTGGAGGAGCAGAGGAGACGACAGGGCTATTTTGTGCGCCTGGGCTCCCTGTCGGCGCGGCTCCGCCACCTGGCGTATGAACACTCTCTGGGGAAACTGAGGCAGAAGAAACACCACGCCCAGGACACGCTGGCCCAGCTGCAGGAGACACTGGAGTTGGTGAGATCCTGCTGTTCACTCTCTCCCCCTGATGCGGGCCGGTGAGCGTGGATCGAGTGCCAGCTGGGGACCTGGTCCTGAGCTGGTCTGACGGGGGAGGCAAAGCCGGGCTCAGCTGCCTCCAGCCCGGTGTGTTCAAGGCTGGGGCGGAGAGGGCACATGGGTCTGGGGAGGCTCAGGGGGGTCGAGGTTCAGCCTGGGGAGACAGGAAGGGGCTTCAGTGGGGGGAGAGCCAGTAGGAGCTGGAATTTATAGTTAAAGTAGTTCAGGAGAGAAAGAAAACACCCCTCCCCTGGCTTTCCTGCCACCGATCCCGATGCACCCCAGCTTTAGGTTCAAGTCTCTGTCCTCACTGTGTGTCCCTCCCTGCTCCAAAGGACCACGGAGCCCCCACTTTTTTTTTTTAACTGTATTTATTTTGAGAGAGAGAAAACATGAGCAGGGGAGGGGAGGAGGGAGAGAGAGAATCCCAAGCAAGCTCTGCACGCTCAGCGCAGAGCCCCAGGCGGGGCTCGAACTCACAAACCGGGAGATCGTGACCTGAGCGGAAGTCAGAGCTTAATCCACGGAGCCACCCAGGGGCCTGCGGGAGCTCCCGCTTGGCTCAGCTTGATGACGTCAGACACCCCCAACCTGCTCCCGCGTCTGAACCTCCATTCACCTGGGGGGGGTCAGGTCTCGACTTCCCGCCTCTCGCACCCACACCAGGCACCTCAGCCGGGATGCTGGCTCCGCCCACAGGTCCCCTTCCCCTTCCTCATCCCCAGGCCCAGCCCCCCAAGCGGCACCTGGTCCCCCAGCTCCGTCCGGGTCCCAGGCTGTCGTCCCCGGAGCGGCCACCAGAGGGCGCCGATGAGCGCCCGAGTGGGTTTCTATCCCTGAACACCATGTCCTCAAGGTCAGGTGTCAGAACGGGCTTCCTTTTTCAGGCTGAATAATACCCCAGAGTACAGATGGACCACAATTCCTGTTTGTCTTCTAATACCTGCCCCGTCCTGGGCACCGAAGGCACAGTGGCCCCGTCAGGACGCTCAAAGCGCAGTAGGGGAATGAAGGTCATGATGAAAAAACATACCAGGCGCTGGGGCATCTGCCCAGCCAGGAGGCAGGGAGGGAAGACTTCCGTCCGCTCGGAAACACTGGAATGAGCCAGGCAGGGGTGTGGGGCGGAGGGAGGAGTGCGCCCAGCCCACCGGCCAGCGTGGCCGAAGTGAGTCTGAGCGACGGGGGAACCGCGAGTGGCGGCGTCTGGCCAAGAGCAGAGGAGAGAA